TTCTTTTTTATTGAACTATAGTTGATTTATAGTATTATGTTAATTTCATGTACAGAGCAGAGTGATTCCTTTATTCTGTCTTCTTTCCCAGTATAGATTATTACAAGAAACTGAATGTAATTCCCTGTTGTGATTGTTGTGGTTTGGTTGCTGAAATGGTTTAGTTGCTAAGTCGTGTCCGAATCTTTGTGACCTTATGGACTATAGCCTGCCAGGCTCCTCAGTCCATGGGATTTCCCAGGCAAGAATATTGGAATGGGTTGTCATTTCCTTCTCCAGAGGATTCTTCCTGACCTAGGGATCGAACTCACGTCTCCTGTGTCTCCTGCATTGCGGGCAAATTCTTTTACCACTGATCTATCAGGGAAGCCCAAAATTCCCTGTGCTAAACAATAAATCCTTGTTGTTTATCTATTTTATATATGCTGTGCTGTGCTTAGTCGCTCAGTTGTGTCTGACTCTTTGCAATCCCATGGGTTGTAGCCCACCAGACTCCTCTGTCCATGGGGATTTCCCAGGCAAGAATACTGGAGTGGGTTGCCATGTCCTCCTCCAGGGGATCTTCCCAACCCAGGGATTGAACCCAGGTCTCCCGCATTGCACGCAGATTCTTTACCAGTTGAGTTACCAGGGAAGCCATGATGTGTATCTGTTTAATCCCAAACTGCTAATTTATCTCTCTCCTCTCTATTTTGGTAACCATAGTTGTTTGTTTTCTATGTCTGTGTGTCTGTTTCTGTTTTGTAAATAAATCAATTTGTATTATTTTTTAGATTCCATGTGTGTATGTGTTAAGTCACTTCAGTTGTGTCTGACTCTGCAACCCTATGGACTGTAGCTCCCCACCCTCCCCCGTCCATGAGATTTTCCAGGCAAGAACACTGGAGCAGATTGCCATGCCCTCCTCCAGGGGATTTTCCTGACCCAGAAACCCAAACCTGCGTCTCTTATGTCTCCTGCATTGGCAGATGGGTTCTTTACCACTAGTGGTACCTGGGAAGCCCAGATTGCACATATAAGTGATATATTTATCTCTGTCTGACTTACTTAGTATGGCAGTCTCTAGGTTCATCCATACTGCTGTAATGGGACTATTTCTTTTTTATGGTTGAGTAATATTCCCTTACTGTGGATATATCCAGAGGTATGAAACCCCCCAAAGCATATCCCAGATATGTTTATCTGACATGGTAGAATTAAAATGTAAAGTTGTGCTATATTCACACGGTCATATATATATATCAGTTCAATTCAGTCGCTCAGTCGTGTCTGACTTTTTGCAAACCCATGGAGTGCAGTGCGCCAGGCTTCCCTGTCCAACACCAACTCCTGGACCTTGCTCAGACTCATGTCTATCGAGTTGATGATGCCATCCAACCATTTCATCCTCTGTCATCACCTTCTCCTCCTGCCTTCAATCTTGCCCAGCATCAGGTTCTTTTCCAGCGAGTCAGTTCTTTGCGTCAGGTGGCCAAAGTGTTAGAGCTTCAGCGTCAGCATCAGTCTTTCCAATGACTATTCAGGACTGATTTCCTTTAGGATGGACTGGTTTGATCTCCTTGCAATCCAAGGGGCTCTCAAGAGTCTTCTCCAACACCACAGTTCAAAAGCATCAATTCTCTGGTGCTCAGCTTTCTTTATGGTCCAACTCTCACATCCATACATGACTACTGGAGAAACCACAGCTTTGACTATACAGACCTTTGTCAGCAAAGTAATGTCTCTGCTTTTTAATATGCTGTCTAGGTTTGTCATAGCCTTGCTTCCAAGGAGTACGCATCTTTTAATTTCATCTTCTTGCGTGGAGTCTTGCAAACAAACCCCTTCTCTGCTGCAAACCTGGGCATCTCGTGTTTTGACTTCCTGTGGGTCAGCCAACATGAGCTTAGTCCGGTAACGGTTGAGAGAATGATGTGCAAATATCCTGGCATGCCAATAAGTGTTTTCATAGAATCTGACCTTACACTTTGTAACCCCCATAGCATCTACCACCTACCCAGTATCTGCAGTTGTCTGGGTCAAACATAACTGATCAATAAGTAAATGAATGCAACCACAATTTCCAGTCAAGATTGTATTGAATTTCCAGCCAGTGGAACAAGAAAAAGGGTGAGAATGAGAAAAGGAGGAGGAAAAGTGATTACAGATGGCAAATTTAGAGGAACCAAAGAAATCCAAAAAAGGACTGCATTATTAACAACATTTAACAAGCTTAACATAAATATAAAAAGTTAGTTATTTCCATGTAATAGCAACAAATGGCTAAAATATATTTTTTAAAGAGAGAGATCACTTACTATTACTAACATAACATAAAATACATAAAAAACAAATCTATCTGGTAAATAAAATTAATTCAGAAAACTTTTAAATTTTAGAGTAAAGCATTTTAAAGATCTGAAATAAGTGAAGCTATGATCATGAAAGTTAACAATTGGAAGAGTATTCCCGTATATGTGTTCAATGTAGCACTAAGCAAAGCCACAGAAGTTATTTTCATGAGACTTGACAAAAGTCATCTGAAATTTTAGTGAAAAGCAGAGAGAATAGGGAAGATAATATTGAGCAAGTACAAAGGGGACTTTCCCTTCAAATTACCACATTAGTTTTGTAATTTAGGATTATGAAAAAGGTAAAAATAGACAATTGGAAAGTAATAGATTAAAAATAGGCTTTTGAATATATAACCTAGTTTATATATGATAGAACCATCATTACAGGTATGTAGAAGAATAATGCAATATACAATAAGGTCTTGTGGGACAGATTGTTTTCCAAAGAAAGAAAGATTAATTTAAACCAATTTTCACAGCATAAGCAAACATGAATTATGAAAGGATTAAATGCTTAAATGCAATATCCAAAATGTTAACTATTTCATAAATAACATGGGAATATATTTTTATGAACTTCGACTGCAGGAGCATTGCTTATAAAGAATTACAGCATGCATACCCTCCTGAAGAAAAATATAGATGCTCCTAAAAAAGGAACATCAACCCAAAAAAAGCATCCTAAAGACTGAAACACAAGTCACAAATTGAAAAACATTGGGTTGGCCAAAAAGTTCATTTAGGTTTTTCTGTAACAGAGTATGGAAAAACCCGAATGCAATTTTTGACCAACCCAATATTAGCAGCACAAATCAATGAAAAAGTTTATATCTGGGATACATAAGGAATTGTTACAAGTAAATAATAGCTAATCAACCAAAAATTAGTATAAGCAAAAGGCAGTGTACAGAAAACACCAGTGGCCCATGAAAGCAAAAACTACGTTGAGCCCCCTTAGCAATCATAAAAATGTGAACTAAAACTACAGTGAGATATCATTTCAACCCATTTGTTATTTAGTTGCTAAGCTGTGTCTGACTCTCTGCAACCCCATGGATTCCAGCACACCAGCTTCCCTGTCCTTCACTATCATCCAGAGCTTGCTCAAACTCATGTCCATTGAGTCAATGACACCATCCAACCATCTCATCCTCTGTCACCCACACATTAGACTGGCAAAATTCAAGGAACATTACATGCCAATTGAGTCCTAGATGTGGAACATTTGAAAACACTTGACTACTTATTTGACTTAAATATATCAGAAAGCATTTTCTCTTATTAATATGTTAAGCTGACATGGTGACCCTAATGCTTGGTTACTATATTACCTAGTGTAGAGAAAATCTTGCGCCTAAGTATGTAAAGGAATACCTAAGAATGAGGTCCTATTTGCAGTAGCATCAAAATCTAGAGAAAATAAAACATTAATTTAAGAATGTGCATTAATTTAATAATGGATAATAAATTTTGACAAATAGAATGGAGTCCTACATACCAGTGAATTATCTAAAATTGTATGTAATAACATGAATTACTATTATAGACATAATGTTGAATAAAAAGCATGTCACAGAAAAAAATTATGAAGAGACTGATCTCCCTTAGATAAATTTCAGACATACAACATTAAATAATATATAATTCACAGTCTCTTAGTGTGTTAGTCACTCAGTAATGTCCAACTCTTTGTGACCTGCAGACTCCTCTGTCCATGGGATTCTCCAGGCAAGGATATTGGAGTGGGTTGCTATTCCCTTTCTGGATATCTTCACACCCAGGGATTGAACCTGGGTCTCCTGCATTACAGGCAGATTCTTTACCCCAAGGGAAGTCCTAACATAAGTGCTAAAAATTTTAATGAAGAGCAAGTGAATAAAAATATAAACTTCAGGGTTATTACCTGGATGGGGTGAAGAAAGAATCATAAAAATCTTATAGAAAAAGCACAGGGATTGAAAGAGTCTCAGCGATAATCTAACTCCTAAACTGATTGGTTCAGGCAAGATCATTCATTTTTGTGCTTACCTAGATGCATTGCTTCCCTTGTGTCTCAGGTAGTAAAGAATCTGCCTGCAATGCAGGAGACCTGGGTTCGATCTCTGGGTCGGGAAGATCCCCTGGAGAAGGGAAATGCTACCCACTCCAGTATTCTGGCCTAGAGAATTCCTTGGACTTTATAGTCCATGGGGTCGCAAAGAGTCAGACAGGACTGAGTGACATTCACTTTCACTTTCAGATGCACTGCATATTCAACAGAAATATAACTTTTATGAGTTCAACATTCAATTTAAATAGCTGCTGTATGATTTTGTAAGTGTGGTAGAAGCTATGATTGACATACAGCAAGTTGTATATTTCATTGCCTGAGAGGGAAGTGAGGACAGGAGAAGGCAAACTGACAAATTCGATAAGCAAATAAATCAATGATGTGTGATTTTATTTAGAAGATAATAGAAGAGAAGATTCAGGAAAAAAAAATAATAAAGCAGTTTAAAATTTGAGCTAGTTGTTTCACCAGCTTTCCCTCCCCTAAGCCCAAGAAATGTTAGAGTCTCAGGTACCCAGGGACTATGAAGACCACAAGAAACCGTCCACGTCACAAGGAGGAGCTGAAGGGGGATGAGGCGCCTGAGAGGAGAAGCCACCGCTCTGCTTTCTCCCTGAGCCAGCCATGTGCCTCGGCCTCCTGTGCTGTGCGGCCCTTTTTTTCTGGGGAGCAGGTTAGTTCCTGCTGTCAAGTTGTTGGATTTCAATCTCAGGACTTTCTCCTGTGGTTGCAAAATCAGGCTTTCTCCTGGGCTTTCACTACACCATCTGTCTCTTTCCTCACAGGCTCCATGGACACTGAGGTCACCCAGAGTCCAAGTCATCTGATCAAAGGAAAAGACGAGAAAGCAAAGATGGATTGTGTTCCCAAAGAAGGACATGCTTACGTTTACTGGTATCGCAAGAAGCTGGAAGAAGCATTTGAATTTTTGGTTTACTTTCAGAATGAAGACCCTATGGAAGAAACAGCTGTGTTTAAACAGCGATTTTCAGCTGAGTGCCCCAAAAACTCACCCTGCAGCCTGGAAATCAAGTCCACCGAGGCAGCGGACTCAGCTCTGTATTTCTGTGCCAGCAGCCAGTCCACAGTGCAGCACATCAGCTCTTCCTAGAACACAAACTCACCGTGAACCCAGCTCAGGAAATCAGTGGTGTCGTAGGAGGGTAGGAACTGACAGAAACCCACCTTGAAAGAACATGAACCAGATAGAAAAAAATCTGTAAATGAGCAACACTGCATGAGGAGAAGGGGAGGTGGAAAACAGCTGGTGGGAACACAAACCCAAGGATGGGGCAGGAAGCTGTAAGGGGTCTCAGATTCCCCGGGTTGCTGGGTATCTGGCGAAGGAGACACAGGATGTGACCTTGATGGGTTCCTAACAATCTTTATTAAAACATGTAGTTCTGTGCTTTTCATCTTGCAAAACTGTGCCTGCAGGAATAAGGAAAATCAGCAGGGGTACCCTGATCTCCTGGCTCTGCACATTCAGTGATCCAGAGACTCCTCAGGGTTCATTACTGCTTCTCTCAGCTGTCCTTGCCAGAAAAACTGAACAAGAAACTCAGCAACTCCCTACGTCCTGAAAACTACAGTCACACAAGTTTTAAAAGCAATTTGAGGTATAACATAGTCACAATAAAATATACCCATTGCAAGTATATATTTTAATATGTTTGATAAATTTTTAGACCCATGTAACCTACTTGATAGGGCTTCCCTGGTAACTCAAGCAGTAAAGAATCTGCCTGCAATGCGGGAGACCTGGGTTCAATTCCTGGGTCGGGAACATCCCCTGAAGAAGGAAATGGCAACCCACTCCAGTATTCTTGCCTGGAGAATCCCATGGACAGAGGAGCCTGGCATGCTACAGTCCATGGGGTCGCCAAAGAGTTGGATACTCTTAGTTGGACACGACTTGTAGATTAGATAACAATAACAAGCATGATACTCAAGATACAGAATATTTCCCCCTTCCTAAATGTCCCCACATGCTGCTTTATTGAGGTCTTTAAATTCTCTCTGTATTGCTGCATTGCTCTGTATTTTTTATCCAACACATCTTACATATATTTTGTTGATTTTTTCCTGTTTTTCCTAAATTTATTTTTTAAATGTATTATAAATATACCTTTTAATACTCAGAAGGANAACAATAACAAGCATGATACTCAAGATACAGAATATTTCCCCCTTCCTAAATGTCCCCACATGCTGCTTTATTGAGGTCTTTAAATTCTCTCTGTATTGCTGCATTGCTCTGTATTTTTTATCCAACACATCTTACATATATTTTGTTGATTTTTTCCTGTTTTTCCTAAATTTATTTTTTAAATGTATTATAAATATACCTTTTAATACTCAGAAGGAGTTTATTGATTAAAATATTTCCTGCCAAGATGTCACGTTAGCCCCCTTCATTTTAGTCTTTACAATTCTCAACTCATGTCTCAGCCTTAGCATATGATATAAAAACACCTCCAGAAGTGAATATTCATGTTCACCAGCAGCCACATCTGAGATGAGGTATCATCTCATGTCTGTAAGAATCATATTTCCAGGACTAGAACACAATCTTAGTAAGTCCTGTTCTTGTCATAACTTAGGTCTGAAAGTGTCAATCAGTCTGAAAGTGTTTTATTTTTTTAATCAAACCCCTTTAACAAATCTGAACTTACACTGTAGATAAAATATTTCTCAGGATACATGAACTTCCTAATACTTCTTGTCCATATATTTTATCACAAAGAATATTCTCTTCTAAAGCAGAAATATTTAACCTGGGACCCATGGATCTCCAAGGGGTAAAAGGATAGAATTCAGGAATCCATGAATCTGAGTGGGAAAATGAATCTTTATTTTTACTAATCTCTAACTAAAATACAGCTTTTAGTTCACGATAGTTGTAGTGAGTAAACCAGAGCAATGTTCGTAGAACCTGTGACAAAGTCAGTAATGGAAACCACGGGGTATTTGCATACATTTTTTGTGTATTATAACACTTGATGTGTATTACAGTTGATATGAAACTTTCATATCCCATTACACAGAGTAAATATCATTACTGTCATCACTCCCTGCTTGGAAATCTTGCCAGTTTTCAGATATATTTCAGAATATATATATTTTTTTCAATATTTACTTATTGATTTGGCTGCACTGTGTCTGCTTTCAGCGTGGGGGATTGTTTGTTGTGGCACACAGGCTTGGTTGCCCCATGGCAGGCAGGATCTCAGTTCCCAGACTAGGGATCAAACCCATGTTCCCTGCCTGGAAGGCAATTCTTAACCACTGGACCACCAGGAAAGTCCCCCAGGATATGTTTTATTAATTAAATTTTAAAGATGTATATATATCATAAATTTCCTTGAAAATATCTTGATAATATTTGCATTTATTCTGCATTTCAGAATAATTGGTATCTTTTGTAATACTGTATATCCTACTTTATGAGTTTAAAACATTATTCTCAGAAGCAGTGCCTAGGATTTAACAAATCACCAAAAGTGTTCATGTGTGAAGAATGAGACCCTCAACTTTACAGATGTCATTTCAACCTCAAACCTAGACCCAATGTTTGGAAATGACCTCTCAGCCAGCATTCTTTTTCAGAGTTCTACCCCAGGGCTGCACTGTCTCATCATTCTCATTCTAAATCATACATCATTTCCTTTCCCTTTGTATCTCTCTCTCTCTCTCTCTCTCTCTCTCTCTCTCTCTCACACACACACACACACACACACACACACACTCACACATGTACCTTTCTTCCAGAAAGTGGCAGCAACAGCGTCTGAACCACCAAATTCCAACCAAGTTTCATCATAAAATTGTCTTTTATCACAGATGGCCCCCAGGTATAAAAATAAAACAAACATTTATCTACCAAAATAACAACATTTGATAAGAAATAATCTATGACCACATTATCATTTATCTAAGATTCTGGAATAAATGATTTTATGCAATGAATGTAAACTGATTGCATAAATTTCAGCTCAGTGCTGGGAAATGATATGTTTGTGAGCTTGCACAATCCCATGTCAGTAAATATCTGAATTTCCTGGATGTAGTATTAGCTTCCTAAGTCTTCTTAATGAAATAAAAAGTCCAGAAAATAATAATAGCAAACACAAATATGGTGCTTATTCTGTGTTAAGAACTGTTCTTTATATAATATTTAGAACAACTTTTCAAGCAGATGATCTAATGAGTCAGTTCTTCGTATCAGTTGGCCAGAGTATCTGAGCTTCAGCTTTGGCTGAAGTAACTGTATCAATTACTTGTAATAAATACAGAGAACAGAGAGAACTGGCTTTATTATAGCAAAACCTCTGAACCTCTTCTTGTGTTTGGAGTTCCCCACTGACAGTGTTAGTGGGAGATTGAGCCATTGATAGAGAAGCAATAATAGGCTGTGAACACGGTAGGTATCTTAGTTTTCATCACGGTGAATGCACAGGCACAGTCTGCTTGTGACTCTGACCAGGAAATGGGAGATTCAGTCTCCTCACCACTTGGCACTTGTCCGTTTAGAAGGGATATAAACAGCTCTGTTAGGCGGAAGGGAAATTGCAAATGTCTTGATCTTTCTCAGTGTCTCCATGTGCAAACTCAGCTGCGACAGTCCCTTGATAGCAGTGACAAATGCTGCATATTTTGAGCCAGGGAGAGCTCTAGGTTCCAGCCTTTGCCCTTGGCCTCCCTCATACCTTGTCTGGGGTTTTACAAAGACCCAGTCCTTGCCATGGGTAGCTGGGACCTCTACCTGGCCCTTTGTCTCCTGGGAGCAGGTGAGCCCCACACGCAGTCAGTAAAGTCCAGTCCTGGACGTGTAGACCCCCACGCACTCTGGCACCCTCATCTCACAGCGGCGTCTGGCTCCCTTCTAGGTGTCATCACCAGCCTCTGTATCTTTACCCCACAGGACCCACGGATGCTGAAATCTACCAGATAAGATTCCTGCTCGCTGAGGCTGGCCAGGATGTGACCCTGGAGTGTAAACAGAACCATGTACTGGTACCGGCAGGACCCAGGGCAGGGTCTGAAGCTGATTTATTACCCTACGGTTGAAAAGGATATTCAGAGAGGAGACTTATCTGAAGACTACAATGTCTCTCGAGAGAAAAAGGAGCTGTTTCCTCTCACTGTGGAGTCGGCTCACACCAACCAAACAGCCGTGTGCCTCTGCTCTGGGAGCACCACGGTGGAGCACGGCCACCTCCCACCTGAGCACAGATCCACTCCAGCGCAGAGCCCCCGATACAGCCTCCATCTAAAAACTTGTAAAGCATCCTTTCCCTTCACTCTCTGACTTCCTAATCAGGAACTCATCAGAACAGACCCAGAGGATACACTTTGTTCCTTTGTCTTTTCATCACTCCTTATATGCTTATCAATAGTTTTTCTTGACATTTTCCTATGTCCCACTATTTTTCCAAATACAAAGGGTACAAAACTGAGTAGAAGATAGATCTTTTCTCTGAGGAGCTGACAACCTAGTAAGGAAATAATTATGGTGGATTTGAATATAGTAATCTGTAAAATCATATAGCACATAATATTACAATATAATAGCAATACTATAATCAGAAGTCCCATGGGAGCTCTGAGGAAGACCCGCCAGTTCTGTCTGGTTGGATTAGAGAAAGCTAAGAGCATTTGAGCTTCATGAGATGGATCTGATTGTGAGTAGGACATTCATGTCAATGAGTCAGACTTTGAAAAAATAATAGAAGAGAAAGAACTTAATCAACTGATAAAAATTTTATCCAGTAGAACAATTTTGAGAGAGTTAATGGGATGCAATTTCTTAACAAGATGGGTTTCTGGTTTCATGGATGGGAGTATAGAAGTGTATGATAGGTTGTTACTCAAAAGAGGGAATTGAAATAAGGAAAATATTCAGTTGTCATTAGCAGACAGGCGATCAATACAATTTTTCAGTGGTCTTTGTATGACTTTGGTTCCTTACAAAGCTGCAACAGCAGATAAAATGGGACCATGTTATCAGTAGCAATCCCCATTTGAGATAGTAGAGTTTGAATTGTTTATTGGATAATGAGATAAAAATTGGAAGTAGGCAGTTGTACATACAGATGTCAATAGAGCTGG